CTTCAGTCCCTCCGATACATCACCCTGCAACTTCTCCACTTGTAAAAAGCCAGAGAGCTTTGGGTGGGCTAGCAGGAACATAAAGTTACCATGAAGTCAGAAAATTTGAAACTGAAAAGTCTGACTTTCCAATTCCTCGACCTAAAAGTCATTAGCTGATGGGGTTACAGTAACCTACCACCCAATATGTAAATTACTGCCTTCCAAGGAGTTTGCATTTTAAAAGCTCCCTAGGGATCTCAATAGCATCTCCCCTCCCCCAACATTTCCTAAAATTGCAAAGGAGGGTCTTTTTTTTTTTTTAAAGGGACTTCAACAAATAGCAAATCAGATAAACCTAACATTTGTGGAGGGAAGTCTACTGGATACTTTCCTGCAGACTGCAAAGGATTCAGAGGACAGAGAAGGTCCAGAGTATCTCTACACAAAGGATATTCCCTAAGCATTGCCAGGAAATGGGTGTAAACCGTAGGAACAGAGCGGGGAGCAGAGGAAATATAAGGTTGGGGGAGGTACCTCTTGCAGGATCTTGCAAACAATAGTCACTTACAAACTCTCTTCCCCTCCATTCCCAGATAACAAGCAGCTCCAAAGGCCTGGCTCAGCTTTAAGAGGACCTCAAATTCTGGAGGGAAAAGTTAAGAGCCAGAACAATTTACCCAATGGATAATCAGTGCTCAAAGACTGCCCTACCGTATCTCACCACATCTTAATTGCTTTAGCAATTCCTACTCTCAAAAACATCTAACCTTCCCCACCCAAAGAAAGAAAGAAAGAAAGAGAAAGAAATGTTGTGTCTGCAACACAGACTAAAGATAATGAGTGATTCTAACGCGTTTTGCACTTGTAGGCAGAAGGCGAAGCAGGACCTGGAGAAAGGCAACAAGCTTTGAAAACCCAGGCAGCCCGCAGTTGGCAGAGGTCGGGAACAGAAGAGCACACGCCACAAGAACGCCAAGGTTGAACCGCTCAGGGTTTACACACACTTCCCAATTTGCTACTACCGTTCCCAACAAGCACCAGGGTTTTAGTTTGCATGATGGAACTGTTCAATGTTATGAATGCAGGAACGTGAGCCTTTACAAAATTGTATTCTGATGTGGTTTCTGCACATCAAAGTAAAAAGCACATATTTTCTTCTTTTATATTTAATAAAACCGTGTTCTCAGCACCCAATCAGGCCCAGGCTCTGCGGATAGAAAAATGAGTAAAATATTGACCCTGCCCTCCTGGCATTTACAATTGACAATGCTTTGCCAAGTTCATTTTCTCCTAACTCTCTATGTACATATTCACTTAGTAGCGTTTACTCATTCAAGCACAGCTCAAACAATTTCATGCCATAAATTATACTTATTATTTCTTCTCTAAATAAGCATTTTCTTAACAAGTATCTAAAAGCAACTACTTGGTGAGGCACTGTGCAGGCCTGAATTAATTTAAATGCAAAATGGGTCCTGATAAACTCAGCCTCCCGTGTTTACTGAGTGAGACCTCTGCCTCTGGGGCAACACCCAATCACTGAGGGCAGAAACTGTACTCATTCACTTAAAAAAAGTTTTAACCTAGTTGGCCTTGAGGTTTGTGTTTTACACCTTGGACGAATCTAAATCAATGAAACCGCAGCAGGGCCTGAAAACCCAGTCAGTCTATTTGGATGTACGTTTCCTGCACTGGCTCTACCCCCCTCAGTTCAATACTGAAAAACACTCGTTCAAATAGCATTTTCCTAAAATACCGGATGCCATTACATTTCCACCAAGTAGATCTGGGACAGTTAGCAATGGAGAGTCATGGCATCCCGCTCCTGGTGGTGGGGGGTGTCAGAGACCTGGGGTGCGGTCTGACACTGTCAGCTAACAAGGTACACACGCCATCATTGGTCCAGTCCTGTCTCCTGTCTAGTCCAGGCTGAGAGTCTAGTCTAGGCTGGGACTACTGCAAAGTCCTTTACTTTAAATACAAAATGAAGGAAACGGTGCTTTTAAAAATCTCAGTAAGAATGGAGAATGGCAACAATCAGTGTCTTGATATATTCCCCCAAAGATGCAGTTCCATATAAACAATTAGATGACAGCTTTCTAATAGATTAGAGGTCCTTCCTTTTAACCTGGTGACTTTCTCCAGGGACGCGCAAAGGAGAGGTAACCCATGTCTTCCGAATTTTACTAAGAAACAATTCTGACGTTCAAGTTTACCTCAAAGGAAAAATAATACTGTATAAAAAAATGGATAAGACCCAGTGATCCTACTGCTGGGACTATACCCTAGGAACCCTGAAACACCAATTCAAAAGAACCTATGCAGCCCAATGTTTATAGCAGCGTTATTTATAGCCAAGTGCTAAAAACAGCCTAGGTGCCCATCAGTTAATGAGTGGATAAAAAAAACTGTGGTACAGTTACACAGTGGAATACTACGGAGCAGAAAAAAAAAAGGAACTCCTGCCCTTCGTGACAGCATGGATGGAACTGGAGAGCATTATGCTAAGTGAAATGAGCCAGGTGGAGAAAGACAAACACCGTATCATCTCACCTATAACAGGAACCTAAGGGACAAAACAAACGAAGGCAGGGAAACAAGGAACAAACTGACAGGGACCAGAGGGGAGGAGAGAGAGGGACAAGGGAGGAAAGAATGGGAAAAACCTAGTTAAAGAACAAGTATAAATGGCCCACGGACATGGGCAACAGGGTGGGGACTGACTGCGGGAGGGGGACAGGCAGGGGAGAGCAAGAGTTGGGGATTGGGAGGGAGACTGGGAGAACTGTAATGGAACAATAAAAAATATACATCATATAGAGAATAAGAGATACTGTTGTTAGTTTTAATGGTACTCCAAAGTAGGTGTCACTATTAGTAATAAATAATAAATTAAAAAGACAAGAACAAGATGGATAAACATAAGTGAGCATAACCTATTTGGGACAGTCTTTCCATTCTTGTCAGCCTCACACTGAACTGGTTCTGTAAGAAGTACATGTTTCCTTGCCCTGGCCGGGTAGTTCAGTTGGTTAGGGCGTCATCCCTACACACCAAGGTCGTGGGTTCGATCTCTGGTCAAGGCACATATAAGAAGCAACCAATGACTGCCTAACTAGGGGGAACAACAAATTGATGTTTCTCTCCCCGCCCCCGCCCTCTCTAAAAATCAATCAAATTTAAAAGTACGTATTTTCTTTTCTCTTGTATCTGCCCTTTGAGTAGCAGGTCTGAGTTCCTCCAGCCCCACCCCATCCCGTAACTCAGCCAAAGAACACACTGCTGCAGCTGACCCAACAGTGCCAGGAGCTGCCAGAGAAAGGAGAGCACATTTCCAGGAAGTGCCACCTGCCAGCGTTCCCCTCCCAACAACCCTGAGCCCACACTTGCCTTTAAATGAGCTCCTCCAACTCTCCCTTCCCCAGCCTTCGCCCTCGTAAGGCTGCAAGGTGATGTTATCAAACCCACATTCTCAGTGGCTGATAATGTTCAAGGAGATCTAAGGCAGAAATAAGATAAGCTTTCTTCCTGCTCCACAAACTTAAGAAACAATCTGCCACCACAACTTCCAATGTTCATTGGGTTTGCTGGAATTTTACTGAAGGACTCCCTACTCATTAGTAATGTTCAGAAAATGCAAGGACGGGGCATTTAAAATTTAAAAGTACATTTGTTTTTAAAATATCAGGGAGAAGAGCCAACCGAAATCTTTGACTAGCCTGCCCTGGTTCTCCGCACAGTGATAATCATAAATACCAACGGACCCTGAAAATGGAGTAACCGGGACTTCAGCTAGCAAAAGTCAGACACGAAACCATTTGCAGAAAAAAGAAAAATAGAGAGCTATCCTTTCCTGAGCACCTACTACGTGCCAGGCAGTGTACTGAGTACTACCAATACAACAGGCTAGCTACATCTGGGCAAACCTTTTTTAAAAAGCACAGCTCTTCTGCCCCACTTTTCAGGTGATGACACTGAAACTCAGAGGGAATGAAGATCTCGGTCCTATCATCAGTGAGTGGCAGTTGGGAACGGACCAGGCTAGCTCACTCTAACGCCTAAGAGCTTCATTACTATGCTAAGAACCATATTGTTCATCCTTCCAAAAAGAAAGTTTCTTTCTGAAAACTACACCGTCCACTTGAAAAACCAAAGATCCCAAGATATCTCCTGAGCCTTTTTCGCAGATCCACACAACTGCCAACTCCAAATCTCTAAACTAAAACGGACTTTTTACAGGAGGATTAAGATGTCTGACGGTAACAGTGCCCTCGGCGGATTGGTCTGCCCGCCTCCCCGCCGCTCCATCAAAGCGAGCCAAACACCCCCAAGGCATCGAACCTCCAGCAGCTGAAGCCTCATTCCCCACGCAGAGCTATTTTTCAGAAAGCATGCCAAATCTACGGGCGGTTTGAAAACGTTACTGGACATTTCAAAATACATGACAAGACACTTAGCAGAATAAGCCCCTTTGTTTTTAGTCCCAAACATGGAACAACAAATACCCTGCAATTCTTCAAGCTGGAAAACTACAACCAGACTAAGTAAACTTTTTGGTGGTGCTGAGCAAGGCTTTGGTTGTTTTTCTCTCCTGGTCAGACAACAAGTGGTGAGGAGAGAAACATCAGTCAGCCTCAGTCTCGTCCCAACTCCCACTGCGCCAGTACACCAGCCAAACACTATTTATTTACGTTTACTCTTTGAAGGGCTCTCCCGAGCAGCCTTTGCCACACCAACTTCTCAGCAGGTGTCCCAGATTAAATTGTGGCCCACCACCCGATTGTTTTAAAAAAAATCTTTGATGTGATCTGTCGCTGGTTATTTTTTAATTAGGGTTGAAATCCTATGCCGTGTGTAAATTTAACCCCCTAAGAACTGGGGCCAGAGAAGGACGACTCCAAGGAGCGGGCTGGCCAAGTCGGCGCGCGCGCAGGGAGCTCGGGGTTGCAGAGGGGCTGCCCTGCCCCGCCGGCCCGCAACCGTCCCTTCCCGAGCCTCCACTGCTCCAGGGAACTCACCAGGATGCCCATCACATCGGCCCAGAGCCGGGAAAACGTCTGGGACATGCTGGCGCCCGTCTCGGACTCCGTCTCGGGCTCCGTCTCGGGCTCGGGCTCCGGCTCCTGCTCCGGCTCCTGCTCTGGCTCGGGCTCCGGGCCTGGGGCAGCAGCTCCCGCATCCTCCATGACCGTGTCCCGCACGCGAGCGGTGCGTCCTAGTCCCTGGGGCACTCACGCCCCTCGCAGGAGTGCAGCCGGGCCCAGCGCCAGGTCCCCGCCCGCCGCGTCACTGAGCCGTGCCCCCGCGCGGCATCCCCCAGCAAACCCGCGGGGACCCCTCGCAGGCTCCCGCACCTCGGCTCTAGGTGGCGGAGGGGTGCGCGACTGACAACTCCAGGAACTTTCCCACCCCGGCTGCGCAAGGCCACAGGGTAGCTGGAGGCAAAGTTCGCACCACTGAGTTTTACAGCGGGGATTACTGGCAAGCCAGAAGCAATTAAATCCTCTGCGAAGGCGTTTCTTCCTGTGACGGGGACGACTCACTAAGCCACGCGACTCACTTCTGCCAGCAAGTCTGGGCAGGGCCCCGCAGGGGTGACCGTGGTGCCTCCGGAGCTTGGAAGGAACTCCCCGGGACCCCTCTCTTCAAAATGAGCTCTTCCAGCTCCACATGACTCTCTCCCCTCCAAGCTACAGAAAGCGTTTAGCAACAAAAGGTGCTCTGATGTCAGGCTCTTTGCATGGAAATGAGCCACAGACAGGAGAACAAATCGCCTGTTGAAAGAGCAGCCGCGCTGCAGCCTCCCGCCTGCACAAGTTTCCAATCTCGCCATTCAGTGAAACATTTTGGTCCCAGAAACTCCAAAAGCTCATCTTTAAGATACTCCTGCCGAAAGAGTTCACAAGTAATCAGTCACAATCCACACCTCACCCCTCGGGAACTCAGGCGACCTAAGGAATTACTACTCCGCCTCTGCTGGCCAAGACTTGGTTGAAAAACAAGTGTGAAAGCTCGGGCACGAGCCATTGTTTGTATCATTTTCGTTAAGAATTGGGACATTTTGGTCCCTGGGCGCCCACAATGCCGCGCACTGCTAGGGGTTTCAGCTAATTAGGAGCAACGTCCTTGGGGTTTTAGTCGCCCCTTTACCGCAAGGACAGAGGGAAGGACCATTTTCAAAACTTGATGTTATGACTGTAGCCACTTAGCCAATGCACACTGGGGCCCTGTGTTTTTCCAAGGACGAGATCCAAGGCAGATTTATGTTATGAGGGAAATAGCCCTGAGGAGGTAGTACCCCTGTTGTGATCCCTTCTTTAAAAACTACTCAGAACTTTCTCTGGGCTTTGACAATGCACGCCACCTTTGATTTGGCGAGTGATCACTTTGTGACACAATTCAGAAACCACCAGGACCCTGCCCTTATGTGAAAGGGCTGAGGGCTACAAAACAGAAAAAAAAAGCAGGTGAGGTGCCCCTAGGGGAGAGAGAGCCCCTGCTGGTTCTAGAGGCCCCTTCTGGTGTTGCTTTTTTCTTTTCAACCCACAAAAAAAAAGAGAGAGAGAGAGGGAGAGAGAGAGAGAAGGAATTAAGAGCATGTCCTGAAATCGCCTTACTAAAAAGCACTCATTACTGGGTTAACTACCAATGCAAATGAATGAATCTCCCTTACAGAAAAGTTCAAATTTTTAAAACTTTTTTCGAAAGTTATTAAATGTGCCAGCATAATCCTTGATGACAAGACTTATGCGGAGAAAGAAAAGGAAAAAGAAAGGTTTCCCTTGATGATAAGGAAGCATGTTGATGCAGAAAGTGCCCGGGAGCTGAATGAACATGACTGGACCTGGTGCTTTCTGGTGCTGATTTCGGAGATGCTTGTAATCCAAATAAATTCAGTTAAAGCAGAGGTAGGCTTATTATTATTGTTATTATTATTATTATTATTATTACATCTATAAAGACATGAAAATAAGTAAATGATGGAAACTGGTAAAATACCCCTTTAGAGTTGATTCTACTGGTATATTTAAGAATTTCAGTGTACATTGTTAGGCTTTCGGTACTTGATTAAATTCAAGAAAATACAAAGAACTGTGCTGCCTCTACCAGTGGGCAGCTTGTTCTCTGCATAAATAAATACTTTCTCAGAAGGGACTGGGCCGGAGTCAGGGAACAGCGGGGCAGGGCCTGGGGAGGGGAGGGCTGACTCCCCAACACCAATCGCAAGTCTTTCTCTTAACTCCTCACTTGAGGCGGGGGAAGCACTTAACCTTTGGAGGATGAGAGGCGCAGCTTCCCAGTCCTGGATGGGGCAAGACCGCACTCCTCAGAGGTGATACTATATTTTAGGATCATCTAAAGATAGGTACCTTTTAACAGCAGCACATGCATACGTATCAAGACACTTAAACCTTAGCCAGCATGTTGGCACCTATAGAATCAATCAATCTACCCTCGATATTTAAGCTGCTTTTCCTTGGTGTTCCCCTAATAAATGGGCAGAAAAATGAGATAGTAATATTCGGGGCGACAGGGTGGGGGGAATGTTGAGAAGAGTAATTTTATGTATTTATGTATGTATGTTTTTATTTATTTATTTTGCTGTTACTTTTATCAGCATTTACTTTAAGCTGAATTTACTTCTGAGGCCTAAGTTTTTGTTTCTTCAGTTTGTTCCGGGATATCTTTTTCTTTTGTGCAGCCCCCTCTCCTGGTTTAGGATTGTCTCCCGTGTTGCAGAAAGAGCTGATGTGTGGGTGAATCCACCCAGGGGGTCTGTTATATTCTGTCCCACATCCTGGGAGCTTTGCTCACCTGGACGTGCTCAATGACCAGAGAATGCACCTCTAAACCCTTAAGTTCAGTATTACTCTCTGCATTCTTAAGCATGTGCAGCAAAAATTCAGCACTCTTTTTGGGCCACCAACTCTGCATCCAGCCCCACTGCTGGGCCTGGGCACACCTACGAACTCCACCATTGTAACAACGGAACAGAACACATGCCTTCCGCAAAGTGACGGCCTTCAGATACTTAGTGGGCTTTTGGATATGCATACCCTTGATGGCCTGGGCAGTTTCACGAGTGTTCCTAAAGTGAGCGCGAAGTTTTGAATCTCTTGATTTACATGATTCTGTGGGGTGTTCTGGCTCAAGTGACTAGCGAACCATTTTCAGAGGTCACCTCGAGCCAGTATCGGGAAGAGCTCGATAACAATAATTTTGCTGCCAGCACATCAACATGAAATTTTGAGTAGTCGCTTTTTTATTTCTGGAATATGAATAGCTTTGTTGACCATTTAAAAAATGAAGCTGAACCTCTTTACTCATCAATTTCATGATGCAGCCCCTCAAAATGAGTATGATTACTTCTCCCAAATTTTACTCTTTTAGTCTTTTCTTCTTGAGCTAATTCCAATCTTTATTTTCAAAAATTCCTTCAGGGGTTTTTTTCCCCACAAAATATGAAAGAATAATCATTAACACCGCAGTCATCATCATACTATTTAAGAGTCCCACTTACTCTGAAATAAGGTACCACTTATGAAAAACTTTTATCATAGGGTGGGGAAGGGCCCTGGAGGTGATCCTGGTCAAATCCCTCATTTCTCAGATAAGAAATGGGCCCCAGAGAACTTGAATGGGCAGGCCAAGTGAACACAGCGGCATGGAGCAAAACCAAAGTTAGACAATTTAATTACTTTCCAAAGCTCTTTCATCTAGATTGTGATGTCTTTGATTTTCACAAAGCTCTGGAAGGCAGGCAAGCATAGATGCTCTGTTAAAGATGCAAGTACAGAAATCCTCTCCTCTGTTCCCTTTCCATGGGCCCTGCTCTCATCCAGCTCTTTGGCATTGTTTTAAAGTTGATGGGTGAATTCCAAAGGATCCTTCCAGATTCTGAAGCAAGGGATCTAGAAGAGGATTTTCCAGACATCCACTAGACACTCAAAATATTCCGTGGGTCCCAACGAACATGTTACCATGAATAAAAAGAAAGCTATCAGAATGCAATCATTATTGTTTAGAGTAAATATTGATAATGCACTTATCTCAATGTGTTATTTCTTGAAAGTCTCAGTCATATGGTTACATATAGGTGTAACACATATGTACATAGTTACACGTGTAACTATAAATGTAAATTCTAACTTGCTTTGTAAAAAGTGGTTCTTACTATGAGTCAGGAGTACAAAAGATTACCCAAAAGCCACTAGTGTAGACATCGCAGAGTGTTGCCAGCAACCTATTTAGGTCATCATTCTGGCAGAAGCAAGATAACCAGTCTGTTGTTTGGCAGTCGGCAGAGTTGGGTAGTAGGAAGCACAAAGATAAAGGGGTCAGGAAAGAGCTGGTTTAAATGTTTACTCCAGTTTCTATAAGACTTGAGTGAAAGAGCAAGTGATTTATTGGGCAAGTTATTTATCTCATCTGTGCAATGGAGTAATTCCACCTAGACGGTATGGTTGTTGTGAGGTCGTCTGTGATAATGCAGATGATAATTCTCTATGAGTTACCCTTTATTCCCCCTTTCCTGTACTTTGCTCTTCCTTCTTTTATTCACGCATACCATGAGGTAATATCTATGAAATTACCTTCTCCATATCTGAGTCTCATGAATTACACAAAGGAGTAATTCCTAGCTCTGGAGTGTGGTTGCTGAGTGATGAATTTAGGACGTCATCTGTAGGAGCAGGGGGTCATTCGGACTATTCCGTTTTAATAGTAAAGGTAGTAATAACAGCAATATCAGTATCTGTCATTTACTGAAAAGTCTACGCTATGTCCAGCACTGTGCTTGACAGCTTAAAATTACTTTATCCGACATTTGAATAGAATCTATGACTTTTCCCTCCGATCTAATCCTTCTACCCTGCTCATTTCCCATTTCGGGAGTGTTCTGTTACATCCATGCATTTGTTCAAGCTACCAACCACAGAGACACGCTCGATTCCTTCTCCCCCCTCGCCATGGAAACCATGGATAAGCCCTGTTGATTTGACTACCTAAATATATGTTAAATTCGTCCACTTCTCTCCAACTACACTGCCATGGCCTTAGTGCACACCACCTCCATCTTTTATAGTATTTTACCCAGATCAGTGCTTCTCAAGGGTAGACTCTCGAACAGAAGCATCAGCATAACCTAGGAATTTGTTGAAATGCACATTTCCACCACCCCTACCCACACCCACACCCAAAAAACCCTGATGGAGTCAGACACTGGGGGTGGAACTGCTGATCAGTGTTCCAACGAGCTCCTCAGGTAACTGTGGTATCGGCTCAAATTGGAGAGCCCTTGGGAACCACGAGACTGTCAAAATAAGGAAAAGGAACACGTTCCTGAGGAAATGTTAAGCTTTAAAATATATGAAGAAACTATGTGAGCAGATTGCTTTTAAAAATTAATTAGTAAAAGAAACTGTCATGGGATAAGAGAATGGAGATTGCAAAATCTGATGTTCAGAGTGTGGAGGGAAAGGGGGCACTCGCTAAACCTGACAAGTTCAGGGGCGCCCTGGGTGGCAGCCTTACAAACTCAAGAGACCTACAGTAACCACATTAGGATGGTCTGAAACTAAAATTTTCTAACTAAAAGCAGGTCATGGCGGGGAGTCATATCCTAGGCTGGTGTGTTTCCCTTACAAAGGTCAGTCTTTACCTTAATTGAGACTGTCTGCTGTCTTCTTGCATCTATGATAATATGCCTTTAGAATGTCAGATTTCCTTCTCTGCACCCCTTGAAGCACCAGGCGGAGACCGCAAATTCCCTCGTCGTTGTTTCCATGTTGATTGCTAACTGTTGCTATCCTGTACCCACCTGTGTAGAAGATGTGTCTAGCATTTTATGTTTTGTCCAATCCCAGAGGTTGCCCCTTCTTCCCCTGTCACTTCTGCTTTGCTTCCTCCCACCTCCCTAAT